TCGGTCGCCTCCTACCTTCTGCTACTTACCTTGAGCTCAGCTCAAGCTCGGTACGGGCTCGCCCCGTCTTCTTTCCTCGCCCTCGCCTTTGCTCTTCCTCCATGTCTTCCTCTTCTTCGCATCTTCCCTCATCTCCACCCGCAGTCGGTCCTTCTTGTCCACCTTCAGCGAGCAGGCCAGCACATGCATCTCTGCGAATTTACTCAGTGCTATGAACAGGAAGCTAAGAGATCGACGCTCTATGTCGTCGCTCTCCGCCTCCTGCTCAAGCTCAGCAGCTGCCGTTGCCCGTGGCGAGAACGCGCTGCCCCTCCTTGCCTTCTTGCTCTCTCCTTGCACGCGAGTCCAGCGCTTGCTCTGCAGCCACTTCCCCAGCTTCTCCTTGAGCGCGTTGCGTCCCACTCCCTGCTCCTCTGGCGTCTTCGCCCACTCTCCCAGCGACATGAACTCCAGGCTCCCCGGAGAGTAGAAGGTGTCGTGGAGGTTGCCAACGGCCTTGTCCAGGACCAGCTTGATCGGCTCGCTCGTCCCTGCCTCGTTCAAAGAAGCTGCATCTTCGATGACTGCTGACAGCTCGCTGACGAGCTGCATGTCCTCTTGGCTTGACGGAGATGCTGCCTCCATTGTGATCCTCTCCAGGTCTGTAAACTCCAGCCACTCTCCCTCGCTCTCCTCCTGTCGCTGCGCTGTGTCGCTGGTGCCCCGCTGACCAGCCGCCTCAGGCTCCTTGTCGAAGCCGACTGCTTCGAGCTTGGTTGCTGCGCCTTCGAGATAGAAGGGCAGCTCCTTCATCATGCGTCGAGCATCCTCCGTGGAGCCGAGGAGGATGCATAGCTTGGACCCGTTCCAGGACTTGGTGTTCAAATCCTCCTCCATGTCGATGCCTTCAACGTTGATCTCGAGCCTGTTAGCGATCTCCAACAAGACTCTCTTGACTCTTGCGATAGACGTGTTGCCGCCGTTGCACAGCCCCTCCATCTCCTTCCTCGTGAAGCGACCAGATGCCGCCGTCGACTTGATGATGATCTTGATCTCCTTAACCCTAAACCCTAAACCCTAAACCCTAAACCCTAAACCCTAAACTTATTTCTGGACACAAAGCGATCAGCTGTCAACTCGACTGCGAGCGCCTCTCTGATCTTCGGGTCCTCGCTGAACAGAGTCAGGTGTACTCCCTCCATCGCTTCGCTCTCTCGGAAAGCTCGAAATGCTGTATCATTCGCCTCTGGGCAGCTCGAGGAGACGATCCACTCCACCTCCCTCTGTCTCCAGATGACGTTGGCCCCTACAGCGATGAAGCCTTTCTGACCTAAGCCTTTGTGGACTTGCTGTCCTGGCGCCCCAGCGACCAGCATGCCTGCCAGCGGCTGGAGTTGGACCGCTGCAAGGGACTGGCGCAGCAGCTGATAGCGATAGACGGCAGCTATCTCAGCCGTTGTCATGCCGCCCAAGGTTAGCAGGTGAGTCAGCTCTGCCAAGCTGCCCCCTTTGCCCCAGGGTCCTCTCTTGGCTCGAATCTTGAAAGATCGATCGTGCACGATGCTCACATGTACAGCTGTGAACTTGCGACCATCGATCGCGAAGTCCTCTCTTCCCTGCCAGAGCTTCTCCGCTTGTGCATTGCGGAGGAAGGAAACAGTCACCGGGATCTCCTCAGCACTCGCTATCTCGGGTCTATACGGAGCCTTCCACATGATTGCTTTACTCTCTTGCACTGAGTCTACGATCAGTCCGATCTCTTCGAATTTCTTCTTCAGCTTCTCTTCATGGTTGACATACACCGAGGAAATGCCCAGGAGAGTCATGGAGATGAAGGAAGTTACCTCGTTGCCTGCTGAGGCGGTGTATGTCTCGACCTTCTCCTTCTTGGCTTCCTCAATCTGCTGCATAAACCACTCTCTGGATGCGTCACTCCATCCAGTCATCGCTTCTTGCAGAAGCTCACGTCGTGCCTGCTGACATGTCGAGCGGATGGCTTCTGCGATAGCGTCGGGGGTGCATCCCTCCACAGCCTTGCAAGCCTGGGCTGTCCTGCTGTTCGGATAACGCTTCGCGAAGCTCTTCACCCTCTCGACGAGATCAGCTTCGAGGACAGAGGCATCCACAAGTCCGCTCTGCATGTATTGGCATGATCTCCGATACAGCAGTTTGCGAACATTTTCATCATACTGAAGAACCATACTTAGAAAGCTATTTGAAGTATACAAACCTCTCGCTTGCAGCTTCCTTGGCGCCCTGGAGGCTTCCCCTACACCACGCGTGCAGCCATGGTGCCTGAAATAACCGGCGCTGCCTGAAATAACCGGCGCTGCCTGAAATAACCGGCGCTGCCTGAAATAACCGGCGCTGCCTGAAATAACCGGCGCTGCCTGAAATAACCGGCGCTGCCTGAAATAACCGGCGCTGCCTGAAATAACCGGCGCTGCCTGAAATAACCGGCGCTGCCTGAAATAACCGGCGCTCTGAAATAACCGGCGCTGCCTGAAATAACCGGCGCTGCCTGAAATAACCGGCGCTGCCTGAAATAACCGGCGCTGTTCTCACCTTCTTGTCCTTCCACCTCACCCTTGTGCCAATTGTCCCACCTGCCCTCGTCTCCTCCTGTTCCTGCGTCCATTAAGCTTGTGCCGCAGGGGGGGAGTCTAGTGACATCCCCTCTGCGTCGTCCGCCTTGCTCCCTTCCTCCGGTTCCTCTTCCATTCCGGCCTCTTTCATCTGTAGTTCAGTGCTCAACATGAACTTTAGTTCGTCGTTATCTCCCAGCATTCCTACCGAAGAGATTACTGTCTCCTCTAGGAATTTATTCAATGCAATGAAGAGCAGGTCAGTCTTAAACTGCTTCTCTTCTTTGGGGGCAAAAGCGCTTTGCTTGCGCTTCGCGACCTTCCATGTATGCTTC